CAAGCTCACGTGATAATGACGTGATTATGAAGTGATTTTGATGACAATGCCGTCAAGTGACATAAATGGAACGTTATTTTGACGTCATTTGTAATACCAAAAGTTGACGTCACCGATATGACGTCAACTAGATGTTACATTGATGTCATATATATGACCATTACTAATTAATTATTTTTTGTTATTATTTGTGTATTATTATTTGATGTATCATTTTGTACTTTAATATTCGATAAAAAACAAGGATAAAATGATATATCATGCACATTACACTTACGGAAATGATACATATACTAATACATACACTAATACATACACTATCATATAAACACATAAACCATCTGTTTTCAGTATTTCCATTGAACAGATATATCACAATTATACAGACATTGACATACAGATTCGTGGGTCATCGAAGTACAGCAGTTCCCGTACGATTGTCAAGGTTAAGCATGCGAGGTCGTGGTACAACTTCGGATGGGTGACCGTTTGGGATGCATCATGAAAAAAAATTAATTCTCGAATTTAGAGAAAATTTTTTTTTCAGTAATTAGGGAAAACTGACCGGTATTTTACTTAAATTTCTACACAAAGTATATACGAATTTACTACTGCATTATTGCACTAGTAGTGACACTAATAGTACTTTTTAGTCATATTTACGTCTCCCTGACGTAATAAAATAACGTCAATAAGATGTGACATAATCACGTGATATATACGTCAGAATAACGTTACTTTTATGTCATAATTGACCTTATTTGTACCAAAAATTCACGTCATTATCACGTGACCTTGCTAGCTGGGATGCTGGTCATAATCCGTTTGGGGGCCGATTGACCCCTTTTTAACCTGCTAGAGCCTTTGTTCCTCTTTGTTATCAATATTTAGACATGAAGGCATTGTAATTTGATCCTTTTTTAATACCCACTTACAATAACTACATATATATCCCTGGAAAAGAAAAAAGTTATATTTTTTAATATTTCTATTATTATTATTCAATATCTATCGATTACTCAATAACCAAATCTACAAAACGAAAACAGGGCTACGAGAGTCAAGCTAGATATTTAATGCTA